TGCAAGTAATATCCCCACCAAACTTTGAGGAACTGCTTGGCAAGGACCCATTTGCAGTGTCTCTTTGCCAGACCAAGGCCACATCGACATCGGTCCCTCTTGGTGGACGCGATGGTGGCCAATCGATGCTGTCATATCTGGTTTGGGGCAATGAGACGAGAGAAGAGAAGAAGAGGTCTCGAGGGTGGAGACTTCATCTGCATCAACTACATGAGCCTTCATCACCTGCCACACCACATGCTAGTGACTTGAGACTCCACCTCATCGACGAGAACCTCAACTTCAAGGAGGTTCTAGCATGGACCGAAACTTAGGAGCCATCGTCCGGCTCACGACGTGAAAGAAGCGCTTGTTGGGAGGCAACCCAACCAGTCGGTTTGCATTTCTTTCTCTATTTCTCCTCGGTTGAGTCAGTTTTGTTATTTGATTTTAGAGTCAATAACTCAACCTTTGTGAGATTTTGTGTGGTGTTTGTGTTCTGATTACTCTCTCTTCCTGGACTGCACTGCCTGACCCGTACATCATCATTCACCCTTGATCTGGTAACTTCGTTCAACCCTCCTTATCTTTCCTCCATTGAGGACAATGTCGTGCTTAAGTGTGGGGGGGTGTTCGATTATGTATGCGGGTGAATGTTTGGCTGTTTGTGTGCTTGGAGCCTAGTCCACTGTCCAAATTTTTAAATTTGAGGGCTCCAAGTACGTGTTTCCTTGCAATTGCCTGCTCAGTATGCTTTGAATTGACAGTCTTTATAGTAATATGCAACCTAGGGAGGTAGTGTAGCACTATGGAGGATGTTGATGCATTTAAGAAGTCTCGTTTCTTCTTCATATTGTGTTGGTTGATTGAGTGAATTAGTGATCTTAGGACCCTTGAATTGTGTGGTGTTGTGGATTCTCTGCCTGTCATGGACTCTTGTATCATGTTTTAAGTTTAACAGGTGCTCGAAAATGTGCTTCAAATAACGTCTCCCGTGCGAATAGGGCGAAAGTGTGTAAGGGGAGACGGGAATTCGTTCCCAATTTCCACCTACTACCTCCAGCCCCCTTACATGTCTTTCCCCCGCACGAGGCTCGAGACACCCGCTCCTGGCATGGCCGGTAAGAGCAGGTTGGGACCCTTGAAAAGAAAAGAAAAGAAAAATAACAGAAAACAAGCAAAATAGAAAAAAAGGGGGTTCCAACCATCTTCAAGAATAAAATAGAGCACCTTGAAAAATGTGAGTCCATGATCTTTTGTTTTTGAGAATCTCTTCATCCACAATTCATTTGTCCTCTGTTCACTATTTGCCGTGATGCCGACTCGCCGAAGAAGTTATGAGATGACTTGTGCGTCAGTTGACCTCGTAAGTTGCTAAATGATCTAGGAAGTCCTCTACCTACGATCTGGGTTGTTTGTTGCTATAGAGGTCTGGAGAGTTGCATCGGTTTGAGTTAGGTTTGCTTGGGGACAAGCAAACGGTTAAGTGTGGGGGAGTTTGATAGACCGTCATTTACACATGTTTTTACCCCCATTCTTACACCGTTTGAGGTGTTGATTCTCGTGTTTTAGGCCGATTTCACGCTAGGTTGTGCTTGTTTGTGATGTTTCAGGTCCTAGTACGTGAATGAAGGCTTAGGAGCAAGTCTGGGGTCGATTGGGCGAAGAACGGACGAATGGTGAGGTTTTTGGGGAGCTGCACGGGCAGACCAGGGAGGCTGCACGGCCGTGCACGTGAGCAATATGGCCGTGCGCCTTATGCCGAGGACACGCACAGGCAACCCCTGAAGCTCGCACGGCCGTGCACCCTGGCCGTGCGAGAGGGCTGAAGTTCGACTAAATGACACGCTGCGTTTTGAGTTGCACGGCCAGAATGGTGATATGCACGGCCGTGCACCCTGGCCGTGCGAGTCGGGATTTCCTGGTTTTAAGCCAAATTCCGAACCAAAGAGGAGGGAGAGCTGGGTTTTGGATCCCAAACACCCAAGGGACGAACCCTAGAGAGAGAGAGCGACTTGGGAACATTCTTGGAGCTATTTTGGAGGATTTCTTCGCCATTGGAGCTCGGGAATCAAGCTTGGAGATGGAGATTGAAGATCTAGATCAGATTTCTGCAGTCTCTCTCTTCTCTATGGAGTAACTTCCCTTCACTTAGGTTTTGAGGAACCTTAGTTCCATGAGTTAGGATCTTTCTTGTATGAAGTTTTGGATGCTATATTGTTTGATTATAATCGAATGATGCATGTTTATTGAGTCAATTGAAGTCTGATCAACTTTTCCTGATTCCTGCTGCAATCTGAGTGAGATAGAATCTGATTAGGTTGCTAGAGTCTCATCATTCGGTAGTAGGAGATTGGCTATACGAGAGTTAGCCAGTTTACTGCTTTGTACTGGAATCCAATTCCAGTAGTGGAGTTCTGTGCTTATTGCTTCAGCTTTCTATCCCGGTGAAGACTAGTCGTCTGCCGGATAGTTAGACTGAGAGGGCTTGGTCAGCTTAAGAGATTCCAAGCTACTGTCGGATCTTCCGCAGTTTAATCAACAGTAAATCAACCAAACTGAATTACAACTTGGACCTAATTGAGGAGCTAGGGGGAATCATACCTAAGTGAGTTCCCAAACTATAATTAGTAGTTTTACTTAGTTTAGTTAGTAGAGTAGTTTAGTTAATCAATCCTTAATCTAGTTTGCCAGATAATGAACTGAAGCTGAGTAATAGTAACTCTAGAGACCCGTGGATTCGATATTTATTACTTGTGCCACTATACTGTAGTCCCTTTCATTGGTTACACTTGGCCATTGTTAGGTGTTGTGTTTTAGAGCATCAACGAATATGGAAGGTCCAAGGATCACAGTTTGAGTAGGCCCACAAGTGTGACAATCCAAAATAATTGGTCTATTCGAAAATATGATAAACTCAAAGCCCAATTTATTTGTATCTCTTACACATATTATATTCTACTCCTCTTGTCCGAAACATTCGACGATTCACCAATTTGCTTCACAAAAATGGAAACTTAAAATTCTCGGACGAGGAATGAACTGTTCCTTCCAGAAACTCCTATCTTCGAATTGAGAACAATGCAGGATTATTGTAATTGTAAAAACAAGAATAGACAAAGCCCAACAACCATAACTTGGGTAGGCTCACAAGTGTGATAGACCTAAGAACTTGATCTATTCAGAAATATGCTAAGGCCACGTTTGGAACCTCCGATTACATACGTTGTATTCTAACTATACATGTATCTGGTAGAATACAACATTTTTTGCTTGATGTAATAACGGAATGCATGTATTCATAATCCATGTTGTATTCCTAATACATAGAAAATTATGTATAGTGAATCTTACCTTTTTTGTGAGATTTTAGTATCCACAGTTCATTTAAACTATAATCCATGCATTCTTTTATGGTTTTCAAACAATTAATTTTCAAAACCACACATTCTTGGCCTTGTTTGGAACCTTCGATTACAAACGTTGTATTCTCAATATACATGTATCCGGTAGAATACAACAATTTTTTAACTTGATGTAATAACAGAATGCATGTATTCATAATCTATGTCGTAATCCTAATACATAGAAAAATAATGTATAGTGAATCTTACCTTTTTGGTGAGATTTTAGTATTCATAGTTCATTTAAACTATAATCCATGCATTCTTTTATGGTTTTCAAACAATAAATTTTAGTATCCATATTTCATTTAAACTATAAGTCAGGCACACGTCCACCACTCACCGGAGAAAGGCGCCATCGATGGCCTCTAGTCGAAGGCTGAGTTGCTTCAATTTGGGAGAGAGTGACGAGCCGACGAGGTTTCGTAAGTCCTTGTCCGATTCAGGCGATTCTTCATCATGTTCAACCTATACCACTAAATGGCCAGATCTAGCGCAATATGCTTCTTCGATTTCGACCACTGAATGTCCATATCTGGCACCATACGTCGCCTTCCAGCTCCGTCGTCTCCTCGGTCGGCCAACTCCTCTCCGTCCGCGCCGCGGTTGGCTACCGCCTCCCTCCGCGGTGCGGCGACAGAAGTCCATGAGATAGTTGTTGGTCCCAACCCAACCCAACTCCCGCTGCTGATTGAATTACATCTTTTTTGTTGGATTTCTTCCTTTTTTATGCTTGTGTGTGACAATTAGAGTAGGTTTGAGTGAATGAGATTTATTCCCGAAAGCAGAGGACCTCAATTAAGAGAGAGAAATCTGGAAATGGATTAAAGCGGAGGAGAAGCAAAAGATTGATGTGCAACAGCGGGAGTGCGAAAGAAGTCGGGTAGCTGGATTGCTAACTAGTAACCGGATATTCGGTATTTGGTAAACCGACTGACTCTCGGTACCGGTAGTCGAAAGTCATTCACATGATTCAGTATACCGATAACGGATTAATCGGTATCCAATTAAACCGGTTACCGACCGAGCCCTAGGTATTTCAATCCTTGCTCCAAGCCTAGATAAGTACTAGGTATTTCAATTCTTCTGTAGCTTTTGCAGAAGCAGCTTCTGGCTGGAACTTTTAGATAAGTACTTTTAAAAAAAAGCAGTTGAGTGTTTGGCTGTAAAACTTTAGAAGTGCTTTTTAATATAAGAGATTGTGTAAAATGACTATAAAGGACTTATAATATAAAATATGAATAAAAATTCTAAACAATAAAAAGTAGTCAAAATGGATCTTGTTAAATTTCCTTTATATTAAATAATCTAATTTTATAATTTATTTTATTTTTAAAATGATGTAAATAATAAAAAATTATATTTTCTGAAATAAAATTAAAATATGGCAAGGATAATCTTGTATTTTCAAAAGAGCTTTTCGCAGAAGTTCCAAATCGGAGCTTTTGCTTTTATGTTATACACAAACACTTTTTGATTTTTCAAAAGTCGAGCTTTTAGAGGTGTTTGACCCTGTTTCAGCTTTTGACTCGAAAAACATTTCTAAAAGTCGGATCAAATATAGGTATAGTATATCTCTTATCCATGTGTCCTTTAATTCCTCTTGTCTAGAAAATTCAGACAACATAAAATTGACAAAATCCAAGGTCCTTTCCAAAAACTCCTCTCTTCTTCGCCATGTCTCTACCTAAACTGCTTCACACCTTTCTTCGTTGCCTCGCACTATCACATTACCTTCTCGCCATCAGGTAAGCTTTTTTCTCCTTCTCCTCTGCTTCTCAATTTTGATCGACTCTCTCCATTTTGATCTTCGCATTTGGTAGTTTTCGATTGCGATTTCTGCTCATTTCCTGCTTGCATGAATGTCACTTCAGCTGGGCCAGAGTTTTTCTGAAGTGACGCTTGATTCAATTTCTTATTAGAAAATGCTCGAGAAATTATTTTTGTTCATTCGTGATCTTTTTGGTTTCATTTTCTGTTAGGTCGTTTTAGGGCTGGCCGTGGGAAGTGTTTTTGTGGGTAAGCTTCAGAAATGGGGTTTGTGGACAACATGATGCAAGCGAAATCGACGAAAGTGGTTTCATCTTCCGGCAGCAGTGCTTCCCGCGGTGGCGGCAGTGGTCATGACGATGGTGATGGTGGTGGTGGTGGTCGGGGTAAGTTTAAGCCGCCGAGGGTTTGGTGTGTTAGGCATTACCCCCCAAATTGTGGGCCTTATAGTCGTTCTAGACCAGATGGGTTAGCAGCAGTCTCTAGTCTTAGCAATGGAGATGATGACTCCGGTTTTGGACTTTCTGCAACTAATGTGGAATCTCTGGATTTAGAACCAGATAGTAACTTGGGAGTTTCTAGTTCTAGTGTTATAAATTCAGTGCGCTTGGAGAGCTGCACCAGTGTTGTTCCTGATGATTGTTGTGATTTCATTGGACATCCTGTGGCTAAGATCGAATCCTGTGATTTAAGAGTGTCTGAAAATTTGGATGAGACAGATATTCTTGGGGAATTGTATACTGTCAAGTCAAAGTTAAAGAGTCCAGCAGTGTCACCTGACCATACGAATGGATGCTTAGCAGATATGCCGGAATCTGTTGGTACTTCACTATCAGAATCATGGAATGCGGCAGCGGTGAATGAACAAGAAGTTTCAAACCGTGAGATTATTGGTTCGCTACCAGATTCTTCCAAGGCAGATGTTACTGGTCCCTTGAAAGAAACTTCCATGCATAAATATCCTCCTAGGAGAAAAGTGTCAGCTGTTAGACACTTCCCACCAAACTGTGGAAGAAATGCTAAACCTCCTAGTAAGCAAGAACAAGAGAAATTAGGTGCTGTGGAAGAGGTCAAAGATGTTAGTATGGATGGTGGAGCTCACAGGGGCAGGTCTGAAAGCAATGTCCCAGAACAGAAGCATGTTAAGGTTCACGTGAAATATTCTAGTGAGAAAGCAACGAAGAGTGGTGATGAAGTCGAAATTTGTTCTGGGAATGTTGCAAGGGTTGATCAAGAATGTGGACCTGATAGAGGCATTAGGTCACATTATCAGATTGGGGAAAAGTCTAATGTAGTCCATAAGTCTGATAACAAAGGAGAACTGAAGGGGCTCTTGCAGCCAGAATCTGTTGTTTGTAAGGCAAAGGTTGCTGCCGAAAGACACAGCAAAAAGCTTACTGTCTCTGAGGAGTTTGATGGTCTCAATGTTGCATCAGAAAGGGCGGTGGTGGTAGGTCTTATGGCCTCGACTGCCAATTCTTTGATCAAGGTAGATAACTTACTTAGTGATGGAAGTGAAAGGAACAATAATACTAAAAAACAAGCTACAACACAAGAACAAAGAAAATCGGTTACCTCGGTGAAGGTCAACCCATCATCTAAACCCACAAGACATGAATTTTCTAGGGGGGATGATGAACTAGATGACACAAAGGAAAATGAGAAATGTGTTGGTTCCCAATTAGTTAGGAGGAAAACTAATTTAAGTGTGAATCTGACTCCTTTTGGCACTACCACTTCCAAAGGCTCCAACAGTGCAAGAAAGAAGGTGAGGGAAGTATTACGCTTATTCCATATTATTTGTAGGAAGTTGGTGCATGAAGCAGAAATAAACCCCAGCCAAAGAAAAAATCTCAAACGGGTCGACTGTATTGCTGCCAAAGAGCTAAAAAACAGAGGAATGTGCCTCAATGAAGGCCAGCGTATAATTGGAGCTTTTCCAGGAGTTGAAGTTGGTGACGAGTTTCTGTACCGAATGGAGCTTAACATTATTGGTTTTCATCGCCAGACTCAAGCCGGTATCGATTGTATGCAACAAGGTCAAGATTTGTTAGCAGTGAGCATTGTAGCATCAGGTGGATATGAGGATAACTTAGATAGCTCAGATATATTAGATTACACAGGTCATGGTGGAAAGACTAAAGATAAGGAAGCTGAAGATCAGAAGCTTGAAAAAGGTAATCTTGCTTTGAAGAATAGCATTAAGGCAAAAAATCCTGTAAGAGTGATTCGTGCAGAAATGAAAATGTCGAAGGTTTATGTATACGATGGTTTATACACCGTGGAGAAGTATTGGCAAGAGCCAGGACCACATGGTAAGCTAGTTTTCAAGTTTCGGATGGTTCGAGTTCCGGGTCAACCAGAGTTAGCTTGGAAACAGGTGAAGAAGTCTAAAAAATCCAAAGTCCGGGAGGACTTGTGTGTGGGTGATATATCTCAAGGGAAAGAGTTGATTCCTATATGTGCCGTGAACACAATAGACGATGAGAAGCCACCAGCGTTTAAGTACATCACTCGGATGATATATCCGAAAAATCTCACCCCTCCCAGTGGTTGCAACTGTAGAAATGGGTGCACTGAGTCAGGTTCGTGCTCTTGTGTGGCGAAGAACGATGATCATATTCCATACAACCATAATGGAGCAATTGTTGAAGCGAAGGATCTTGTCTATGAGTGTGGCCCTTCATGCAAGTGTCCGCCTTCTTGCTTCAATAGAGCCAGTCAGCACGGAATTAAATTCCAGCTCGAGATTTTCAAGACGCATTCGAGGGGTTGGGGTGTTCGATCCTTGAACTCGATTTCTTCCGGGAGTTTCATTTGTGAGTATGTTGGAGAACTTCTTGAAGATAACGAGGCCGAACGAAGGACTAATGATGAGTATCTGTTTGATATCGGTGGGCATAGTGATGAAGAAGATGCACAGGACTCTAACTTCACAATTGATGCTGCAGAGTTTGGTAATGTGGGGAGGTTCATCAACCATAGTTGCTCCCCTAATCTTTATGCCCAGAATGTGCTCTATGATCATGGGAATCGGAAGATTCCTCATATAATGTTCTTTGCTGCTGAGAACATTCCTCCTTTGAGAGAGTTGACTTACCACTACAACTATCAGATAGATCAAGTTTGTGATTCGCATGGCAACATCAAGAGGAAGAACTGCTACTGTGGTTCTGCAGAGTGCACGGGTCGGATGTATTAAGGCCGATATGTTATGGATTCTGAAAGTAGCAGCTGCCGGATTTTTCTAGCTCAGTAAATGTAAGTTGGTGCGATGAATTTTTGTATTTTTTTACTCCGTAGTCAGAAAATTTTGATGATCTATGGGCACCGTGAAGTCCATGTTCTCAGTGTTCTACATGTTTATGGCCGAGTATCTTAGATGTTTAACAGTCCATGCTGTTGATATCTCTATTGGCTGTTACTCTCTGTTCTACTTAATTGATCATGAAAGTAGCAGCATGTATGTTTATGATGGTCTCTGGCATTGTGTAGAACTGAAATTGTAGCCCCCTTTTTTTTATACCAGTTAGATGTCAAAATGACTGCGGATTTTAGTTTGCTTGACTTAAACTTCTACGCTTATTAGTTATTACTTGTCAAAATATTTTTCATGTGATTGCGACAAAGAGTTACTCTTTTTCGTCGCACTTCTTTGCTAGCAGCATAGAGTTTAAATGTAGGTTAGGTCTTCTCGAGGCAACGCGGATCCCTTTGTTATTTGAATCTCATTATATGTACCTTTCTTTTTCTTGATATTCATTTCGGCCCGAATTCATAGTGTTGAGCCTGCCAGCATGACGTGTTGCAATAGTGAAGATGTCTTATATCCAAAACTTAGGATGTTCTCCAGATACTTGCATAATCTGGATCTTTGGGAGCCTTCTTGATACAGAAGCCTTAATATTTATAGTCATATAGTAGCAGCAATAAGTCTCTTAATGAGACAGTAACTCCTTTGTGAAGGGATGTATATTTTGGGCGAAGGGGTGTGTCTCTTCGACCATAACTGCCTGTTTCTTTCCTGTTTACCTTATAAATAGGCAAGTCAGGAAGCCGAACGGCAGCATGATGAAAATAAAACAGTAATAAATATATTCTAAGTATAATCTGTGTTTCGTGTTATTCTCTCGTCCGTTCGTACGATAACGAACTTTACCTTATCTTCGATATCGTCCTATATCACTTCTGATGGCATTGCCTATATGGGTGGGAGTTACAATCTCTTGATTAGTTTCTCGTCTGCTCTTTTCACTACTACCAGCTTTATTCATCTGCTTGCATGTAGCAACATAGCAGTAAACATTTTCAATCACAACTGAGTTTTCTTTTCATGGATCACTCAGGATATCTAGCAAATAGAGGCATTTTTCACTCATAATAATCATGGAAGATCTTTCAAGCAAGCTTGACGTGGGAATCATAGCCAGCACCAGGCTTCCACGAACTCGGTAAGGCCTTATTTGCTTCTACCCATTTCTGCTCCCCATTGCTAGTCCCAACTTTGACCTTTACTTTAAGAGCACCTGATGGCGGATTAGGCAAGTCCCAAACTCCACCCCACGCCTTGTTCATACTCTTCCATTCCTCATTACCCTCCTGCATATACAAAACCAAAATTTAGTCATGTTGCATGTGAACTTCATGAACTACTGCATTATTAGGACCCAATGTTATGGTATTAGATTGACTTGATGGTGTTAGTTCAGCACTTAACTGCAGTGGCTTAAACATGAAATATATGGTTTTGCTTCAGAGACTCGAACAGAAGGGACTGAATTTCAGTGACTACAGTAACTCGTGGGCTAAATGTCGCTTCATGAAAAAGGAAATCAGTCGAGAATTAAAGCTTACCGGACTAATTTCCAGACCAAAGATATCTTTTTCCCCACCGTGGAACATAGGGGCTATGGCCAAGTAGTGAGGGTAGTGGCTCTGCTCCACAACCTTGAATATGAGGTTGTAGCCTGGGAACTGGCACTTTGTACGTCGGTACTCGATGTCCACCACCCCTTTCCAGAATAGCTCGGCAGTATTGTTGGGATGAGCCATGCTTCCGTAGGCATGTGCGCTGAGAATGAAATCGACATCGCCTCCTGAGGCATTGTCGGTCACCACCACCGTTATCCCTTCCTCTTTGCATAGGTTATCAACCTTGCATCTCACCTGGTGATGATGAATGATCATATCATAAATTCAGTGTGTTTGTTTCAGCTGACTTAAAAGCTGAAACATACGTATTCCATCTGACTTGGAACAACTCACTCATTCATTTTCTTATTATCAAACCGATTATCCATCATTTCATCAACTCTACAGCTTAATCATTCTTAAATCATGCAGTCTTACCTGGTAGCAAGCTCAGATTTCAGAAGGGTTCTTACCTGGTAGCAAGCTCCACAGCCGATCCCGTTATTCCATAGCCCAGAAACTCCAGCCACCAGAGCATTGTTGATGGTGCTTCCATGGATGCCATAACCACAAGCTCCAGCTACATAAACCAACCCATCATGTTATATAACCTATGCCAGAAACCAAAAAGAAAGAGAAGGAAGGAAGAATGTTGCTTTTCTGTTACTTGATGTGCCCAAGCAATCTGGGCTGCGGTAGTACTCGGCTTTCGACCTTCGGAATTCGGATGATGATGACAATCCAGTAGCCTCAGGCAGCAACAGGAGTGACACAGAAGAAAGGAGACAGATCTGAAGAACAAGAAGACTCATGGTAAAGATGAAGAAGAAAGAAGCATAGAGGTGGGAATCTTTATTCTACCAAGTACTAAGGTATAAAGATCAATCAATGAAAGGAAGGATTATGGTGGTCAGTGACTCAGTGGGCCAAAACTGTTCCGTTTGTTGTTTTGGTTTGAAATGTAAGATGGGAAATCAATGGTCCACAGAGGACAATGTTTGCTCTGTTTCTTCTGTTCTTTCTTCTCTCCCCAGTTTACCAAGAATCCATCTCTCTTTCTTCATTCATATTCAGTATTCATTGCTGCCTGCCTATTTATTCTTGTTCTTGTTTCTTCCCTTTGCGTTCCCTGCTTCCCTATACCTTCTTTAATATTGGAATTGACGATTTTTTTGTCCAATTATATCCTTTGCATTGTCCTAATCGAGTGATTAGGGGTTGTTTGGACGACTGAATATGGGTGTGAGAGGTCGTCATGATGTGGTTAAAGCAGCTAGTTGTTGTTGACTCCAATGATGTTCCTTGCTCACTACCGCCGGCGACCAATCTCTGGTGCCGCCGGCGACCAATCCTCAGGGCTCAGCCCCAATACCTCACCCAACTTGTACACTGCCATCTCAAACAACACAAACAGATCCCCTTCGTACGCGCTCCACATTGGCAGCAGGTTGATTTCGCCTATCACTATTGATGCTTTTTTGATCGGCGAACGCCAAACGTAAAACAATCTAATAAATCAAACGTGTAAATTCACCCAGGTGCAGTTTCTTAATTTTATCCATTGGTCATTCGAACAAAAAAAAAGGCCATTCTAAATAGTAAATTCTGCTTTATCACTAGCTAGGCAGGTTATGGGTGACGTTGGTGGAAGACTCTCTAACTAACCTAATTTGGCATGGCTATAGTGACGAGTAACAGGAGCATAGCTAGGGTTTCGATCAGAAAGGGTCTACATAGAAAAAATACACATGATTAGTTAGTGCTTTGCTTTCGTCATATAACCTTATATTTGAAAAAAAAAAAATTAAAATACATAGTAGTTGAAACTATCAAATAATCTACTCTTTCTGTACCAAATAATTATTCATTATTTAGTTAGTGCTTTGCTTTCGAATGATGTTCTTTGTCAATAACAAATTAGTATCATAACTCGAGTTGTTGGGAGATGTTCAATAATGGATTTTATGTCAAAAAATGATTTATGATTTAGTTAGTTGTTTGTTTTTGAATGGTCTTCGTTGTCAAGAATCGTTCAGTGCAATAACTCGAGTTGTCGTAAGATGTTCAACAATAGATCTTATATGATTCACTAATATACACCGTCAAAAGAAAGCGAACTTATTTATGCTTGAAGTTTGCACAAATATGAATATCATGTGCTTATCAAACGAGGTCACCAAAATTCTAACACGAGACTTCTCAATTACATGCAATCTAATATTTATTCTCAACTAACTATTATATCTTATTTATCCATTTCCCTCCGAGCCCAAAGCAAGTCCTGAATTCCTGTTACACTCTTCCTCTGCTCCTAACTGTTTAGGCCAACTTCAATGTAGGTCCCCAAATTTAGGGATTGCACCATTTTCTTCAATTTGGCTCCAATGCTACCATCCCCAAATTTGGGGATCTTTCCTTTTTCTAGTTTTTGTTTACTTAAAAATGTACTCATTATCATCTTAATATAATTTGTTCATATTAATTTTTGTATAGTTCGTCATCATTTTTAAAATACAAATTTTCCAATTGAATTTTTTCAAATTCCGAAATAGATTTTTCTGGGCAAAAAATAATTGGCCTAAGTTGGGTTTACACACATAATAGTTCAAATGATACAACTCATAGTTTACACACAACACTTGATAATGATAAGCTTAAAGATTACACACAACACTTGAAAATGATAAAACTTAACGATTACACACAACACTTGAAATGATAAAGATGAAACACATAACATGTTAGTAATCGCCCAACGGAGAATAGTGATTCCCGTAATCTCCTCCTCCATTTTCATCTCCTCCTCCACTCTCATCTCCTCCTCCTGTCTCACTTGCGTTGGATGAGTAGTTGGGAACATAGTTAGGATCATCTTGATCATACCCTAGAAACATGTTTTACTTATTTTTGTAATATTTCTTCTTTCTTGGTGTTAACTTCGACAAGTCCTTTTCAAGAAGATCAAGGTTGTTCTAAAATAGTGTTGCTTCCCTCTCTCTTTACTCAAGTTCCCACTTTTGTTCCCTCTCCCTTTTCTTGGTCACACTTCGATTTTTTTTTTTCTTGGAATTCCAGCCCTTTTCGCTCATACTCAGCCCTCGAAGCATGTCTCTCCTTCATCTCACTTCCATAGTCTAACAATTGAGCAGTGTAGCTCTCCGATGACACAGCAACCCCCTTTCCTTTCTTCTTAGCCGCCTTCTGTTTGTCGGCAGGGCAAGATATGACGAAGGGTGGAGTTTCTTCGTCACCTGCTATGTCATTAGGGTCTGTTTGTGGGGTTGATTGATAACCACTACGCATGGGAAAACCATCAGTTATGAAAGCATGAAATTTTTGGCATCTTTTCAAGATCCACCAACAATGACCAAAATTCCAACCCTTTTCTCCACTCACTTAAATACAGTTATTCTGCCATATACTCCTATACGTATGAACGAATGAGATGGAAAAAGAGTTAGAAAATAGAACACACGTATTAATGAACGAGTTAGAAAATAATAGTGATGGTGATAGAGAATTCATACCACATCTTGTTGATTCGTGCTACTTGGTTGATTCCTCTCTGCCATTTGGATAGCTGAATTCCAACACATGGAGAATTTGGATATTGTGCTCATTTTGGCATTCGATTAGACATGCTTTTGATAGTAAGAGTTGAGTTTCGATCGTTCACTCGAAATTGCGCCGCCACTCTATCCCAAAACTTTCTATTTCTTTGATTGACGCCCACAGCTCTATCTTATGATATCATGACCCAAGAATTGCACAAGTTCTTATCTTCCTCCACTTTCCAACCCTCTCCTCTCTTGCTTTTCATTGTTTGGTTTTTAGAGAGAGAAATACGATAGAAAGGATTATGAAGTTGACAGAAAATTTCAATTCAGTAAGAATGAGATGTAGAGAGGAGAGGAGAGGATGTCTAAATATATCGAGCATTTATGACCATTAGGATATGACCATTAGGTTTGACCGTTAGATGTTACCATTCGAATATGACTGTTAGGTTTGACCGTAGATGTTACCGTTCGGATCTGACCGTTTGGATATGACTGTTAGGTAAGGTTGGTAGGTAAGGCTGTAGGTAGCACATGTTCGGTTGTCATTGGTAGGTAAGGTTGTTAGGTAGCACATGTTAGGTATGTCATTGGTAGGTAGCTCATGTTCGGATATGACCGTTAGGTAAGACAAGTTTGGATATGATCGTTCGGATACAAATATAAATCCCCCATTTGCATAAATTCAATACTTGTCTGAAACTTCCTACCATTTCTAAATCAAACACATCCATCACCTTCTCCCCATATTCTAAAACAAACACATCCATCATGAGTTCCTTAGATTACTCATCTTCTGATGGAGAAGAAGAGATGGAAGAGTTGAATATGTTTCACTTTCACTGTTTGGCTTTAATCGGGCGGAGGCTTGATAAAGCTTCATCCTCACGTCGTCGTTCATCAAGTCGCACCTACATTGATCGTGAAAGGGATGTCTCCGATGTTTGACCGGATCCTCCACGGATCCTCCCAACAAGTACGATTTAAGGTAAACGGTCATACCTATGATTTGGCTAATGGTATTTATCATTCTTAGTTAACTTTACTGAAAACATTCATCAATCCAAGCTCAAACAAAGAAGCCTTGTTTGCTCGATGTCAAGTAGCACATCGAAAAGACGTAGAGCAGGCTTTTGGAATTCTTCAAGCTAGATGGGTAATCGTTCGTGGCCCTGCGAGATCTTGGGATGTTGCCACAATTAATGATATAATGTTGATATGCATTATATTGCACAACATGATAATCGAGGATGAGCAGATTGATTCTAACGATGAGATAGAAGATAATCTTGATTAAGAGGTCCATGACCAACAACCAACTAATGTCGACAGAGATATTCCAACCCTAACTGAGTATTTGGCTAGGAATAATAGGCTTCATGCTGCATCAACACATCATGGGCTTCGTCAGGACTTGGTCGAACACATTTGGAACTTGCATGGAAATAATTAGTCATTGTTGTTGCCAAGGGGGGAGGCAGAGAAGAAATTGGGGGGTCCTGAGACCCACCTTGGATCTTGGCAAGAAGCTAAAAAATAAGCAACCATCAAATGCTCGAGTGGGGGATCAAACATAGCATCACCTGTCAGAGAGTTTCAGTCACTTACAGGTAGGCTACAACTCTTGTAATTATATTTAACTTTACTTCACACTGTATTATGGTATACGTGAACTAATATTAGACAAACAAGTAAAACATACATCTAATTGTTTATTCCTAATTCACAATCCCTAACTCACTTTCAGCTTCTCCTCCGAAACCAAACTCTGCCGCAAACTCTCACCCACCACCGTAATTCGTTTCGATTAACCTCCAATTGTAGACGACCATCTCCGTTGGTCTTCCAATCCTAGTCTATCTCGGATTGATCATCTCTGCAGTACTTGGTTCCTCGCTAACCTTACTTTTTTAAATTTTCATTTCAGAACCAACTTAAACGAAATCCTAGCTACGCCCATGGTTGTTGCTTGGTATTGATGCTGGGATGCTTTGTAATTCAATTAAAGTTGTAGCTGGTGACAATTTGTTTTATAATTCAAGAAAGCATTTTCATTTCAATAATATATTTTCCATTCTTAGTTCGGTCTAGTTTTTGTTTACACACAACTTCAATATGATAAACATAAATTTTAAATAAAATGAATTCAATTTAAGTCATCTTATCAAATAAAATAAGACGACTTAACTAAGAATCGAAATGGCGGATCCGCTATCCCTCAAGAGGAGTTCGTCAAAGGGATCCACTATCACCCTAATTGTTCGTCCTATGTATGGAACGTCTTGCCCACAGAATCGAAATGGCGGTTGCTAACAAGCAACGAAGACTTCTTTCTCTTACGTCTCATGGCCTTAAACTCTCACATTTTTTTTTTTTTTGCAGACGATCTCATCTTATTTGCAGAAGCTGGAAGCAAACAAATTGATATCATGAGACAATGTCTGGAGGACTTCTGTGATAGCTCGGGTAAGAAAGTTAATTTGAACAAATCGGTTCTCTTTGTCTCACCCAACATCATAAGAGGAAAAGCTCAGAATCTCAGCACCCGAGCCAATATTCCTCTCACTATGGATCTAGGAAGGTATTTGGGTTTGAATGCTATCCACGGAAGGGTGACCAAAGCTCACTACAAGGAATTAGTTCTGCACATTGAAAAGAAGCTAGCTACCTGGAAAACTAACTGCCTCTCCTTGGCGTCACGGTTAACCATGGTGAGATCAATTGTTTCATCTATGGTTGTTTACCCGATGTTCTCAGAACTACTGTCGACTTGTGTTTGCAATGACTTGGATAGGACCAACAAGAAGTTTATTTGGGGTGAAGAAGAGGGGAATTCCAAACCTCACCCAATAGCTTGGGAGCAGATGACTATGCCTAGAGCTCAAGGAGGAGGGGGAATTCGCCCCACCCGTCTTGCTAACCAAGCGATGTTGGCGAAAGGTAGCTGGAAGTTAATAACAAGAGATGACTCTCTCTGGACCAAGCTACTCCTTGACAAATATGGTGGAAACAAGGAGGGAATCGGCATACTTCAACATTAAAAGGGAAGCTCTCTCGCCTGGAGAAGCTTTACTTCTACTGCCAATGTGCTAAAGAAAGGTCTAGCCATGAATGTTAAAAATTGAAAACGCACTAATTTCTGGCTTGATTCCTGGATCATGCAGGTCCCTCTCGCTAAGCTTGCTACAGCCAAAGTTCCGGAGGAGTAAAAGTTGTGTCGAGTTGTTGACGTGTGGGATCTAGATCGTGGCTGGAAGATTGAAGAATTTCATCACCTCTTGCCGAACAAGATCGTGGACAAAATTAGAGCTGCTATTGTTGACCCTCTCGCTGCTGAAGAAGATCGTCTTTTTTGGAACCTTACGAAAATGGACACTTTACAGTTAAGTCGACCTACAAAGTAACTCAACAGGCGTAGGTGCAGCACCCAAATGTTGTTGGGAAGTGCATCTGGAAACTTCAGGTTCCAGAGAGAGTTCGTGCTTTCATTTGGATGGCGGTGCAAGATAAACTCACTACCAACAACATCAGAAAGTTCTGACATTTAGCTGACGATGATTCTTGCCCTGACTGCGTGGGTACTCCTGAAACAAATCTTCATTGTCTTCGTGACTGTAGGAAGGCAAAAGCAGTATGGGACAAAACTCTTGATCATCAACGAAGGAGCTTGTTCAATAGCATGCCCCATGAAGACTGGATTAAAACCAATCTCATGGACGACTCTGGCGGCAATTGGCTAGGGACATGGAGTAGCTTTTTCAGTTTAATTCTATGGTATTTATGGAAGTGCATAAATGAAGGAATCTTCAAAGGTATCAAGTTAACGAATTCTTACCTCCACCATTACGTCATCACTAAAGCAACAGAGTGGGCTAAATCTTGGGATTCGGCTAAGAAGAAGCTGGCCAGGGACACAATTTACCACAGGGTGGAAATGATGGTTGGCTGGTCAAAGCCTCCTACTGGTTGGCATAAGTTAAATACTGATGGAGCCGCACAGAGTAACCTGGGTTGTCTTTCAGCAAGAGGAGCACTTGGCGACCACAACGGTGAATGGATAAGTGGTTTTCTCAGCAAAATTGGTTCGGGTTCAACTTTACTTGCTGAGTTATGGGGTATCCTGAAGGGTTTGGAACTTGCTTTGAAAAAAGGGTCACGCTTTCTTATTCTGGAATCAGACTCTCAACTAGCTCGTCATTTGATTGAAAAGAGAACTGACAATGTTCATCCCTATGCTACGATCCTAGGTACCATTCACCTACTCTTGGCCAATGAATGGGTGGTTCGGTTAGTTCATATGTATCGTGAAGGGAATAGAGTCGCAGACTGGCTCTCGAATCACAGTCTCGTCTATTCCTTTGGTACGTATGAATTGGACGATCCCCCATTAGAACTCGATAGGATATGTCGAGAAGATATTCTAGGGATTAGTTTCCCTCATCTTGTGCTTCAAGCTCGCTCACCATGAACCCCCTGCTGAACTTCTTTGTCTGCCCGTCTCTAGTTTTTGTGTTTACCTCTATTCATGGAGTTGAGTTGGTAGCCTTTGTCCTTTTGTAATCTGGCTTTTTGCCTCCCTCTAATTAAAAAAAATCAAATAGAATAAATTAAACAAAATATTAAACACAAATTAAAGAAGCCTAAATACAAGCATTAATTCCCCTTTTCCTTAATTAATTATATAACCTTCCCCGTAATTAATTTCCCTTAAAATATTAATTAACAATTAATAAAAATTCAGCTGCGGCGCACCGCCCAACAGCCAACTATTCCCACATAAATGTCGAGTTTGTCATTTTCTCTCTCAATTTTGGCAATCCAAATGCATATCTCCCTCATAAATGCCACCTCTCCCCATTTTTGACGCTGCATTGGAGCTGCGACTCCCCATTAATGAAGACTCTCCCATTTATGAGGTATGCATTGGAGTCAGCATTACTCTCCAATTCACCTTTTTACCCGTGTGTTAGGGCCCGCTCGTTGGACGGATATATTTAGTCAATGACATATGTAACAATTAGTACCTATATGATTCATCGTGTAAGGATGAAAGTGAAAAACTAAACCTATACCAAAAAACTAACTTATGATTAAAAAACTTATCAAACCAAACTGAAACCTGAATCTCCATCATCAATATTCTCTTTCTTCTTTACGCTTGCAAGTTTGTTTCCTCATAATTTTTTTCAAGGGTAATGTCTATTTTTATCCAAACCTTTTTCAGATTCTTTTATATTACTGATAATTATCGAAAACATATTTATCTTGTGTGCTTAATGTGATTATTTCATGATATGTTTTAGACATATAATGCTTATTTTAGGGCCGATTGACTATTGAATTGTTGCAAAACCATTACCATCTTGTGTTAGAATTTTGATATATTTTAGATGGAGAAACAAGAAAAGATTGATGCCCAAGCAAAATACCACAAGTGGTCCGACCAATGGCCAATCCCAAACCAAACCAGCTTGATCAAGCTTCCTTTACTTAGCAAAAAGTAGTAGCAACGTTAGGAGGAATTAATTGGATCGGAAGCAAACTTTTGGCCGGACCAATTACTCCTTCCTACTGGGACACGAGAATGGATTAATGGAAAAGAGGAACTGGAGTTACTTGGAATTGTTTGGGCCGGAAATGACACATATGGGAGCAATTAACTTGGACCAGGGGGATTTATGTTAGAGGCCCATCTTCTTTGCTTCTTCGGAGGAGACTTGGACCGGGATTTAAAAGGACGGAAGCAGGAAGCCAAAAAGGAGGGAGGTAATTGGCGATCGAGGGAGTAGCGGCCATAGTGAATTCTTTTGGGAACAGCAGCAGCGCCGAGAGCAGTGCAGCGACGGGACGAGTTGGGCACGACAACAGCTGATCGCCGGGCATAATTCCAAATCAGTATTTTCTTTCATCGTGATTAGTTGGATGATTATAAACATGATTGTGTGCTTTATTTTCGTCATGAACTAAACCTCAATTTCTAGGGGAAACACCATAGGATGTAGCTATTTCTAGATTTGATGGATTGATTCATATTTCTTTTCTTCCCATCTCTATTGCATGAAATTACTTAATGGTTTGTGTTGACTGGCCACCAATAAAATGAATCGTAGTTAATTAGGTTATTAGCGACAATGAAACCCTAATAACTGAACCTATTTCATGTGACATAGTAACTTATTGAAGCGACAGTGGATTAAATAAGGTGCTATGCGGTCTTAAATAGGATATCGATCTTCGGGCTAAATAATTAAGTCATTGAGCTACGACGGTAGCATTTGATTTAATTATTTAGTACGTAGTAATTCCCGACAGGGATAGCTAGCACAGTAGTGATATCTTGGCTATGAAGAGTTGGATTAAATTGATTGGAATATGTGAATTAATTTGGATATTATAGGTAGCGAGTCCCGGTGTTTCTCCCAGAGCCTTCTCCCATGAATTTCAACCCGACAACTTTAATTTGCTTATTTTGTTTAATTATTAGCTAGTATTTTCATCACTCAAACCATTTTCACCTATAGTTTCCTCTATAAAATTGATAGAATATAACGTTGTACCAGTCCCTGAGAGACGATACTCGGACTTCCCGGTTTTACTACGAGATAGGATTCAGGCATCATGCTTTTGCCCTATCAATTACCCAAACCTATTAAAATGCTATTAATTAGCCAAATCTTTCCTAATGCATCAAAATATTAGGTATTTTTACGTTATTATTAATAATTTTGTAACTTTTTCTTAGTTAAAAATACTAAAATTTTGGAATGTTAACCTTCATGTGTATCTTCCAAGTTAGTATCATGTTGCCAAGTTACTATTACTAACAAAATTGCTAACTGAAAGTTAACATTTGGTTAATTCTTAGTATTTCAATATTTAGATAATATAAAAAAATCTAAAAAAGTTTGGATACAAATAGACATTACCCATTTCATTTTTCAATGGTTGATCTATTCTCTTCAACTTTTACTTATGTGAATTTATTTATGAAATATAAGATGGCGAGTTATAATTTTTTAATATAAAAATCAAAATAATTGGAGTTATTATATAAACCGATAAAGTGTTACTGTTGCTTTAGATGAGATAAACCATATTCGATCACACTTTGTGGATATATAAAATAACTATCCTCTTCCCACGATCGGAAAAAAATATTAATGCACATTAAATTATGAAGTGTATATAATGAGAGATTGATAAACATAAGTGCTTACATTCAAGGTTTGAAAATCAAATTAGATAAAAAAATATCTAATTGGATAATTCATTGCGGAGAATATTTATCCAATGTATAGATCCACCAACCGCTAGTCAGACCAATTACGTTTTATGTTTAAAAAACAACTTATCTTTGTGTCATGCTATCTTCAAAAGGAAAATAAATGTTTTAAATAACATCTTACTGTTAATCTTTGTAGTCTCTTGAGTATATTCTCTATCTAGGTTTATGAGAAATTGATGGATTATATACTCATTTATCAATCATAATTGAAAATACTCAACAATCCCTCAATGATTTTGATAATTGTCATAAACTATATATATTTGAAAGTTAATATATTTTATTGAATGTGTGCTATGTTATATCTATCTAGGATTAACTCTCCACCATACTTATTGACCATTAACTCAGTATATCATGATATTATTTTATGAAAATGTTTGATTTGTGGATAAATTATATTACCACTATTAATATGACGTATCAATCAAACACGGAAAGAAGTGTCTATTAATAATTAAAATGAATTAAGTGTCCTTAAAAACATAAACCTAATCTCTAGATGGTAGTGGAAATTTTTCCAGCTACTTATTAATATCCACAAATTCTTTCTTTTATATTTTGGATAGTTCAATCACAAAACTATCTTTTCTACAAACACGGGTTGGAAATTCTGAACAAAAGATGTTTTGGAGGAGAATCTCCATGTAGTAATGGGAGGATAGATAGGGGTGAGATACAATCACTTCTCCTAAAGGGGTTGTGAGATTCACACACTACAAAAAACTGGACCTTTAGCGACGACAGATTTCGTCGCTAAAGGTCCAAAATTCGTCGCTTATAGTATTGGCGACGAAACAATTCGACGCTTTAGACAACGGCCCTTCGTTGCGTATACCGCGTCGCCTAAGAGCTTGAGCGACGAAAAAACTTCGGTCGTCGCCAAAAATACGAATCGTCGCAAAAGCACGAACAAACAACGACGCAAGTTTCCGTCGCAAAACTATGAATGCGACGAACCATCCGTCGCAAAAACATTTTTCTAGGCGTGTATTTTTCGTCGCCATAGTCTTTTTGCGACGGCGCATTTACGTCACTAAAGGTATTAAGTGCGACGACATGCTCGTCGCTCATAAGTAGGACCTTTTGCGACGAAATTCCATCGTCGCTGAAAATGACGTTTTTGCGACGAAATTGCTTGACGCTGAATCAGACTGGGATGGTGTACCTTTGGCGACGACATCGATTTATTGCAAAAAAAATGTTTTAGCGACGAAAAATTATCATGGCTTTGTTTCACTAGAATTTTTGCCACGACAGTTTTCGTCCCCAAAGAACCTGATAGAATACAAAACTGCAGCACGGAGTTTAAACTCACTTTTGGAATGAGTATCAAATGTTTGTATCCCATCCGACCATAACTCTTTCAATTCATCAATTAAAGGTTGCAAGTAGATGTCCATATCTTTTCCTGGCGCAGAAGGTCCGGGAATCAACAAAGTCAAGAATATGTAAAGTTCTTTCATACACATCCAAAGAGGCAAATTATATGGAGTCAAAACAACCGGCCACATGCTATACGAGTTGCTCATATTTCCAAAAGGGTTAAACCCATCACTTGCAAGGCCTAGCCTCACATTACGAGCATCCTCGGCAAACAAGGGAAACTGATCATCAAAATCCTTCCATTCTTGTGAATCCGCAGGATGTCTTAACCAACCGTCGTCATTACGCTTCTCCTTGTGCCACCTCATTTCAGCTGCAGTTTTAGATGATGAAAGTAGCCTACGAAGTCTTGGTTTCAAGGGAAAGTACCTCAACATCTTCCATGGGATTTTCCTTCCTTTCCCATCATCCATTTTCCATCGAGATGTTTTACAGACTAGACAAGCTTCAAGAAGCTCATTCTCTTTCCAAAATAAGGCACATTCATATCGGCAAGCATGGATGGGAACATAACCCAACCCCAAGCTACGTAACATACTCTTTGCCTCATAATAGGAGTTGGGAACCACGTTATCTTCCAGTAAAACATCTTTCAAAAACTTCAACAACATGTCGAATGACTTATTGCTCCATTTGTTGTACACTTTCAAGTGAAGTAGCTTCACTATAAATGAGAATTTTGAGTACTTTGTACAACTAGGATATAAGGCTTCTTGAGTTGTGTCTAACATCTTCATAAATTCTTCATAACCCTTGTTAGAAGGGTCATCTTCATTGATTAACTCATGGTGAATGAAATTTTGATGCTCATCTAATAAGTCAAAAAGTTGATCATCCAAGTCATCTGCATCATCCAACAAATGATCAATGTCATTCATTTGGGAATCAGATGATTCCCCATGGTAAACCCATATTGTATACCCGATGTCTATCCCATGAATCATCAGGAG